AATTCTCTCCGGGAGCCATGGCAGCTCCGCAGGCTCCGGAGCGTTTTTAACTCTGCTGCCGGAGCAGATGGCGCTGGCAGAAATCTTGGAAGTCTGACAGGAATTATCTTCCCTCCCCTTCCCCCCACTCCTTCCCATTTTCCTCCAAATATTCCTCCCATCCTGCTGCTTTTCTTTTTTTTTCCATTTTCTTCCCATCCTTGCTTTTTATTCAGGGAATTTTTCCAGGAATATTTTTGATCTTTTTTCCCACTTCTTATTCCAGCCAGCCGGGGGTTAACCACCTTTATCCCTGGAATTTTTCCTGGATTTTTTTTCCTCCCACTTCTTATTCCAGCCAGCCGGGGGTTAGCCACCTTTATCCCTGGAATTTTTCCTGGATTTTTTTTCCTCCCACTTCTTATTCCAGCCAGCCGGGGGTTAACCACCTTTATCCCTGGAATTTTTCCTGGATTTTTTTTCCTCCCACTTCTTATTCCAGCCAGCCGGGGGTTAACCACCTTTATCCCTGGAATTTTTCCTGGATTTTTTTTCCTCCCACTTCTTATTCCAGCCAGCCGGGGGTTAACCACCTTTATCCCTGGAATTTTTCCTGGATTTTTTTTCCTCCCACTTCTTATTCCAGCCAGCCGGGGGTTAACCACCTTTATCCCTGGAATTTTTCCTGGATTTTTTTTTCCTCCCACTTCTTATTCCAGCCAGCCGGGGGTTAACCACCTTTATCCCTGGAATTTTTTTCCCCCCGGGAATCTTTTTTATCTTTTCTCCCTGGGAATCTGCAGTGCTGCTGGAATACGCAAATGCCGGGGAATATTTATTCCCAAAAAACCCCATCCCAGTGCTGCTTTTCCATCTCCTTCCTTGCCCGAGCAGGGATTTTTCCCTGGAATCAAGTGACTGCGCAGCTCCCGGCCGTGGGTGTGGAATGACAGCTCAAGGACTTCTAATTCCAGCCCCATTCCCACCCGATTCCTCCCTCTCCGCCTCTTTTCCATCCCCGTTTTTCCTGGAATTCCACGGGAATGGTTTCTTCCAGGAGCCGCTTTGGGATTTGGGTTGGTTCCCCTCCATTCCAGGGGTTGTCCCGCTGGGGGGATGGATCTGGTGCTCCTGGCTGGGATTTTTCCCTGGATTTTTTTTTGGTCGGGATGTGCTGTGGCAGCTGCAGCCATTCCTGCTCGGAGCAGGGATTCTCCCGCTGGGATCCGAGCTCTCCTGGTGGAGATTCAAGGAATGGTTTTAATCCCTTTTTTCCGGGGAGGGTTTGGCTGCATGGAATGGGAATTGCTGGGAATGTCAGGGATAACTGGGATGTGCTGGGAATTCTCATGGGGATGTGAGAAGAGAATTCCCAGATTATTAAGGTTGGGAAAGAATTCCAAGGGCACCGAGTCCCAGCTGGGCCCGATCCCAGCCCTGAGTGGAATTCCGGGAATTCCTCGGGCACCTCCAGGGATGGGCACTCCAAAGCTCCCTGGGCAGCCCCTGCCAGGCCCTGGCCCCTTTTCCATGGAAAATGATCCCAAATCTCCAATCCAAGCCTGCCCTGGCCGGGCTGAGGCCGCTCCCTCTTTTCCCGGGGCTCATTCCCTGGAGCAGATCCCGATCCCCGCTGGCTCCTGGCAGGAGCTGGGCAGAGCCAGGAGGACATTCCCGATCCTGCCCCGATGCCGGCAGAGCCGCCCCGATCCCGGGGC